AGTTTTTGAAAAGGTATACAATATCTTTAAAGATTTAAAATTAAATGCAGGAAACAACTTTTGCAAACAGTTGTTTAGCAAGATGTATAACAATATTTAGGGAAATTAATATATATATAACTTTCTGCTGAAAGGATTTTGGTTATAATTTTTTCTGGTATGGGACTAATATATATTTGTGGAGAGATTTAGATTTTGTGAGCTGTAATGAACTGTCTCTTTCTTGATTTCTTGTATTTCATAAAAATAAATTATTTATTATTTAATAATTCTACCATTTGAAGTTATCTGTATTCCCTTCCCTATATAGATTCCTAACATGAGATTTTCCAGGTTTTCAGTGCCTTGGGCCAGTCCAAGATTTTTTAAAGGATCTGATTTTCCAAAGATGTTAAGCAGCCATCTTCTTCCTTTTAAGACTTTGATCTTGAGAATAGTTACAATCTTACCTCTCACAAAGTGCTGTAAATTAGCGCTCTGAACTCTTTTGCAGGGATATGAATATCTTTGTTCTGATTTTATAGAAAGAGATCTGATGAGTAATAATGTTGTTTTCACTTGGTAACTTTTGCCCATTTCAGGAGTGGTATTTTCTGTTTTCTGTAAACGTGTTTCAGGGGTTTTGCATTATTAATAACCTACTAAGTGGGATGCCTTCATCATACGCTGAGGTTCATTTTGTTACCTGTTACATATGTGCAATAAAAATCAGGCTTTATTTGAAGAACTTGTAATCTAAGCATCCTTAATGATATTTCTAATGGTATTTCTTGCTCTGGTAAAGTGGATGTATACTTGAAGAAGAAAGTCCCTCAATGGAATGCCCAGGGTGCAGACGGTCTGTTTGCTGAGCTGAGCAAGGCACATGAAGTTCATGGTTGCTCTGGTTGAATGTATCTCATTCAGCACCTCATTCACAAGACTTCCATATTCACTATTGTTGCAGGCAAAACAGTCTCAACTCAGGGTAGTACACAAAATTTAATTTATTGGCAATAAATAAACAGAAATGTTTGATCACTTGTTTAGGTATTGAGAAGAAAGTAAGAAACCAAATTATTAAATAAACACTCAGAGAAATACCTTCCTTCTCTCTCCCCAGGTTCAACTTCTGTCCAATGCTTTCTTAGCCCCTTCCTAATCTACACCCTCAGGGGTGTCCCTGGCCCACACGGGTCACATACACAGGCTGCACTCCCTCAGGGGGTCCCTGCCCTGGTGTGGGTCACTCTTGGGTGGGCACCCTGCCCAGCAACAAGTATGTCCTTCCAAGGCTGCGTCACCAGCCGTCTCCCCAGCAATGTCCCCTACCACATCTCCTCCATTTCGTTTCTGAAAATGCATCTCTTCACATTTCTCCTCATGAGGCCCCTTTTTGCATCCTCATATGTTTCCTTTTGTGTGTCCTCAGTGCATCCTCACGTCTCTCCTCCAGTGTCTCCTGCCCCAGCAGCATCTCCTGCCCTTTTTAGCATCTGTTTGAGCAGAGGAGCCGTGTTTTGGGGCACCGTGGGCTGTTTCCATCCGTTGACAAGCCAGCCCGACTGGCCCAGGGCGCCCTGCAGCTGCTGCCCTCCAATGCTGCTATTGCTTCCCAATACAACAACTTAGTTAAGCCCAGTTGTGCAAACACATAAGCCCCTCAAAGTCATTATGTGACTTATGTACACAATTGTAGGGTCTTGACCTAAATTAAGTATGCATGAATACACTGTACAACTTCCTTTCACCATCCCTGCAGTAAAAAGACATTTAAAAAAAAAAAACAAAAAAAAAAACAAAAACAAAAAACAAACAGTTAAATTGTCAGGGTTTAATAATTAATTAATTTTAATTCCTTCAATTTATTAAATTGTCAAAACTATGAATCACTCAACATAATGACTAGTACCCACCACTGGTCTCCAACACCTCTCACACACTGATACTTCTTGTGACACACTCCCAGTCCTAAACTGTACCCAAACCACGTCACCAGGCAGATGAAAAGACACAAAGAAACCATATATGCTCTGCGAATTGCCTTTTTGAAAGGAGCTCTTTTAAACAGTCTTCTATTTTGAAATTTTATGTACTGAAATTCTCCTAAAGTGTTCTAGAAGAAATCTTTTTCTTTATTGTTGCAATGAAATCTAGAAAAAAAATGAAAAAAGAAAAAAGAAAAAAAAGAAGGCTGCACAATCAATTGTAGAAAAACTGCTACACCTTATTTTTGTTCCACTATAATTATAAGTCTTGTTCTCCAGAGCCGAAATCATAACAGTTAATAACTTCCTAGCAAAACTAAAGCTCAGCGAGCTAGGAAAACAAGATCAAGAAGCCATTTAACACAGTACTCCACCTTAAACAATTTCCCTTCTCAGATTTATCCTTTGATAACTTTCTCTCTGATGGATATTGAACGAAGGATCTCCTATATCTTCCTCTCACACCTATTATCTTTAAAATTACGTCTCATTTTCCGCCTTCACCTTTCAGCTTTTGTCTCGATATACACGTCCTGTGCTCAGATGCAGTCTCAGTTTTCAATTCCCACGTGTTTCTTCCTTGAGCTTCAGGTTCGGAAAGAGCTCACAGTTTGGCCAAATCTTCTTGTCTTTCCTGTCTTTGTGGTTCATGTAATTTCTCTACAGGCCACTTACTTTCTTCAGTTCCTTTTTCTACTAGGCAAGAGAACTTCCCTCCCAAGTCTCTGATTTTGTTGAAGACTGACTGCCAGAAACACGTAGATTTAATTTTCCTGTTCTTCCCATTGAAACCTTAAGTGAGTGTTCCCCAAGTTACCTTTCTCTGTCATTTTGTCAACAGTTCCTCCCTAACGCCTGGGGACAGAGGTAGAAGTTTCTCTGGTGGTTGCTTTTGCCAAAAAAAAGTATCCAAAAAATTGTCTCGCACATATCACAGTAATCTGCTGCACAATTCACCGGGTAGTTAAAAATCTCCACTGCCATCACAGGAGTGGTGATTCTGTCACTTACTGTCAAGAGGAGGAGTGGTGATTCTGTCACTTACTGTCACGACATTGTATTCTCTTTCTTGCCCCGGTTTTAACGTTGTCTTTACACCTCAACCTGCTCCCTGTGGCAGGAGGTCTGACGGGAACCTCGCGGGGTCCTTGCCTGGGGCCTCCCTGGGCTTCTGCTCCCTGAGCCTTCAGACCGTCCCCAGGGCTGCCGTTAGCAGAAAGGGGCAGAACACTGTCAGCCCTCAATAACCTCTCACCCGCAGGCTCCCGGGACGTGCTCGCCACCAGGTCAGGTCCCAGTAACGGAGAGATGTTGCCGTTGCTCTCAGGGAAGAATTACCTGCAACCACCATTTCCATCTTTAATTTCCTCCTACAGACCTTGGTCCTTGGGTCGCGCAGCCGTCTCTTCCCTGTCGGTGTAACGCTCTCTCACAGAGAGAGTGGCCTGCCCGGCTACGCCATTTCTCAATCAGGCAGAGTTCCTCGGTGGCTAACTTCTTTACAGTCCCTGTGAGACAGCTCTACAGCATTTATAGAACCATAGAATCACAGAATCATTATGGTTGGAAGAGACCTCAAAGATCATCAAGTCCAACCGTATACCTGATGCCACCCTGTCCACTAAACCATGTCTTGAAGTGCCACATCTAAACGTTTTTTGAACATCTCCAGGGACGATGACTCCACCACCTCCCTGGGGAGCCCGTTCCAATGCCTAACGACTCTTACAGTGAAGAAGTTCTTTCTAATGTCAAGCCTGGGTCCAAAGGGTCCAAAGCCGTGCCTACAGCTGTGTAGAAGTTAACAGGTCACCAAAACGCTTTATTTTACCCTTAATTCTCTACCAACTGCTTCCTTGGCTCACAGTATCTTCAATCAGGCAGGAAAGGGGAGGGTCAGGGAGAAAGAAGGAATCCACTCCCGGAATGAAGCCCGATAAGTAAATTTCTGTTAAGACTCCCGAATGAAACCTGACAGGTCAATGGTGCTACAAACCCCTGCACACGGGACAGCGGAGGGACGGGGTGCTCACCCCTTGGCTGGAACGCTTGGTATAATTACACCCTGACTTTGCCCCAAAACCTAGCAAGGGTTAGCGTGTTGTCTTTTTGAGATTATAGTCATAAAATTAAGTCAGCTGTGGGCAATATATTCAGCTCGCTTTCATACACACACTGCAAGCCTTGTTACCAGGACCTCACAAAGCATCTCTTGAAAAAGGAATACAAGATGCTCTTTGTAAATAAAAGTTCATGAGTCTGAGGAATGAAGTCATTTTCCAAAATCGCAGTGAACGATATTCTTTTCTAGGAGCCGATGAGAAGCTGAGAGGTGGGCTTGAGGGAAAGGATCTGAACGAAGTATATTAGAGAAACCACTTAGCCCTATTAGTCCATGACACAGCCAGGCTGTCTCCCTCCTCCTCCTCCTCCTCCACCCCCCCCCCCCCCCAGCCACAGCCTCCCCTCCCCCATGCCAAAAGAAAAGGTTACTCTAGCTGTTTTCTTAATAAATTTGGCACCTTTCTGCCTTCCACTAAATAAACTGGAGATGTTAAAAAATAAACAGTCACGAGCGTCAATGCTTCATGTGGAGCGGTTGGATGGAGATGTGGGGGTGGCGTGGGGGGAGGAAAGGGTGACCTCACTTTCTGAACGGCAAAGTTTGAGTGGGAGGGTCTTGACACGAAAGGTAAAAAAGGGAATGATGTGAACATGTGAAGGAAGCCAGAGCAGCGAGCAGAGCGTCAGTCCGTGTCCTGACAGGGGGAGATAAGGTGGCTGGGGAGCCAGCGCTGCTTTCCTGGAATACAATCTCTGTTTGACACTCGCTGCTTAAGCACTGCCCATCTGTATGTTATTGAGCTGGAGCCTCTGGGGAAAATCAGGAGCCACAGGCACAGAGAGTGAACAAGGGAGGCAGCAAAAGCGCTTTTCTTCCCTTCTTTTCCTTTTTTTTTTTTCCTTTTTTTTTTTTTTTTTTTTCCACTTTTAAATCAGGATCTGGTTAGACTGCCTTGAAGTGCCACATCTGGAAACTGAATGCTGAAAGAAAGTTAAAATAACTGAGGCACCACTAAGCCAAGGGGGGCTGATTGCAGAAGAGGGTAAACAATTACTGAGACGCTAGAAGACCACTGCTGGATGTAAGGGGAGGAAATGGCTTTGATCTCCGCCTGGCCCCTCGTTTCTCCTATATTATTATTTTTGAGATGCTTCTCCTCCAGCACAGCCTCGAGTGAGGGAGGTGTTTTTCAGTTTGACATTGAAGGTAGCTCAGCGGTCAGCGCGCAAGAAGCCACTGTTATCAGAGGGCAGCAGCAGGCAGTAGCTACTGGAAGTTGGGTGCCTTTTGCTGAGGTACAGTAACTCCCTTCTCTCTCTAGTGTCCGCGCTTTTCTGCTTTCATCTGTCTGTGTTCAAGCTCCCGTCTGGTTAACGTTAACTTAATCATTCAATCCTTAAAGTGATACCGGAGGATTTTTTGGGGGGGTTCTGAGACGCTGCGTTTCGGGACTGGAGAGATAGAGTTCAGACTTCAAAACGTACACATGCCCTGCCTGCTGCGAGCAGACAGCTGCTGTACTTTGCCGTGAGGCTGGCTTAGCTGACTTTCCTGTCAACACAACCAAACAGGCCTGTCCAAAGAGCTATTTTACAAGGGTTAATTGTCACAACACTTTTCTGCTTGCCTTGTTGTAGTTCCTGCAGTTGCAATTCACTTAAACTTCCAGAAAGAGTCTGTCTTTGGTGGCAAATGCTGTACTGTAGAAGTTTGTGCTTTTGTCTCTGAATGCCACAATCTGAAGTTCCTTTTTGCGATGGGAGCGGGGATAGTAAATCAAAGTGGAGGCAACTGCCTGCAGAGAAAACACCTGCAGAGATTTTAAGACTTCCAAAAAGTATGAGGTTGGGATTAGGGAAAAAATGAAACTAGAGAGAACTGAGAAGCAATTTGATGGTGGAAAATTTTCCCGTAACCCCTGTGTTTTGGGATCGGTTGATGCTCCTCATTCTAGCAAGGCTGTGTTGGGAATGGACTACTCAAAAATACAGCTTGAGAAAACAGTTAATTACTCCAGCATACACTGAGAGAGGGGGTAGTAATGTCTCATGCGTGGGAGACGCAAAGTGGGAGGCAAACAGAGCTACATAAGGTCATGGGAAGGGAAAATCTAGCGTAACATCCAAAAATGAGGTGAGACTAGCACAGCCGTGTCACTATGACAATATCAAGATCGTAGTCTCCGATATCGCAAGTCTGATTTTCCCCCTACGCTCCAATTGCCAGGACTAACAGCCGTGGAAATAAGTGCACAAGCCCTTCAGACAGCCAGGCCTCCAGGGGGGCCGGGCAGAGCTCGTCCCCCACTGCAGCAGCTCCGAGCTCCGAGGCAGCCTTGGGAAACATCTGCCCACCCTGCCTGGGACTCGGCGCGAAACATGACCTGTGTGAGAAAACTGGAGGCTAAACCCTGCTCCGCTCGACATAGGGGCTCTCGGGAGCCATCCTGGGCTTGGATGGGGTCCATGACGTGGGATGAACAGCTCTTCTCCTCTGGCCTGGGATCAGCCCCGGGAAGCCTCATTGCCACCTGTTGCTTGCAACATGGAAAGTCCCTCAATGAAATGCCTGATTTAAGAGCTGGATGGGTTTTGTAGCTGCTTTTCACAGGATAATGGGCATAAGTGATTATTAGCCTTTCTTGGTATGATTGTGTAGTATGGTTTTCCCAAAGACACAGTTTACATTGCTTCACTTTAATATATTCTTTACTTTGGGAAAGTGCCGTGACATATATTGGACACCACAGGGAAATGACACTTTAGTCTCCTTCACCCATTTCAGTCCTCCCTGAAGTTTCATTTGTACAGTCCGATCTAACAGAGTCACACAGTGGTGTTTGCTCTGGCAGTTTACTGCGACCCCTGCAATGGCAGCATTTAGACTCTGGATGCCGCGTTACAAAGGAATGATGCTGCCGGCTACCGTCTCACCAAGGCCCTTGCCCGCAGGATGTTATGGTTTGATGAGGAAGGAGCCGGGATTTCAGGCCCCTTTGCCAGCTGCAGATTCACCTTGCTATTGCATTTCAGAGCCCACCTCCATGGCAATTTCTGAGGAGGCTCAGTAGGATGCTCTTTTGGGATGGGGCCGATGGCACTGTAACAGTGAGAACCTGCTTACCCATTGATTCACGTACATAGTTGGTAGCAGGAGCTGGGGAACTGGCTCTAAGCCCAGAGGTTAATGTAGGGGCCAGAGACCAATGGTCTGGTAGTCTCTCACCTGAGGAAGAAATACTTCCTTTGGTCCTCAGAGAGCTTCTCCCTCCCACAGCCCACCTCCCCTCCCTTGGCCCTGGGAACAGGGTTTGTCCCAGCAGTTTTGAATGAGCCTCTTTCGAAGCCCAAGTTCTTAACCCACAGAGAACCGCAGAGTAAACTCCCTTACACAACGCGGTTTGATTCAGCTCCTTCATCTAAATATTGACTCAGGCCTACAGCTCTCCCGAGCAGACAGAGGCTGTTAGTCACATTGAATAGTGCCAAATTATACAAAGGGGATAGATTCGCCAGGCAGAGTTACGGAGCCGTGGATGGGGCTTCCTTGTAGACTGTGGTGGCAGTCAACCGCCACGTGAAACACGCCGCTGTAAAGCCGGAGCACTGATCAGGGCAGACAGAGACCATGGTATTTCAGCGTCCTGGACAACGTTTGCCCCACACATGATCCTGCTCTACATATCTTCAGAAACCAGCGAGGTCTGAGACAGTGTTGGTGGGAGTTTGCAAGCTGTAACTGGTGGGACGCTCTTAAATCCTGATAAGAGTCTGGTACTATGAACCCATAGAAGAACAGGAGATCCCAACTAATGTAAATACATATTAGTGAATATTTCTCAGTTTTCCACTCCTCTTCCTTTCCCATTTTTGGCAACCCTAAACTCAGAGGAACTGGGAGAAGTGGTTTAAAAAATCAGAATTAATGTTAATGTGGAGCTTTTCTGTGCCTTGCATTTGAACGAAAGCCTCTCAACAGCAGAAAGAAGAGGACTAACTACATTTTCAATGCTGTGCTAATAGGTTGTACCCACTCAGAGTGGACCATGGGTTTGAGTTGGACTTCAGTCAACATCCAGTAGCTTGGTGCCCTTGTTGTTAATCAATATGCGATCCAGTACACCTAAATTAGGCACATAAACTGTTCTTAAAACTTTTCCATCCGAATCAGGCACTGTCTTTAAGCATAAACCCAAACTCCCTATATGGTAACGGAGACACTAGGTTTTTAAAGCCTCTAACTCCTAGCGGTCTTCCCTGGAGGGCCTCAAAGGAGCCTTTTCCTCTGTAAGAACTGTGTTGGGTACTTGCTTCAGGACAGATTTATTAATCAGCTAAAGTCTGGGGCATAAAATGTAGATGTTTAAATGAACTGGACTAGAGTCCACCCAATGAAATGTTATGTTACCTACATAATGAGCACCGGTAGTGAAAGCTAACAAGCGAGTGGCAAACATCAGAAATCTTTGTTTTGGGGTTCCACTCATTAGCTTAGACACAGCAAAAGAAAAGGGGGTGGTGAGACACTTCCTCCAGGTGAGGCACAGAGCTAAAGCTGAAAACCAGAAGTAACTTCTGAGAACAGTTACATCCCACTGTCAGACACATGCCTTTAAACCAAGAGGCAAGTCATACATTATCATTTGGGTCTGAAGCCAGCTGCTGTCAACATTTGTGTTTATTATAAATTCCGCTGACATGATGGTTTTAATTATATAGGTGTAGATTTTGTTCCTTGGTAGGAAGAAAGTTTCTTACAGAGTCTAAAGTGAGAATAAAAATGATACAAGACTTCAAATACTAGAGAGTATGGCAAATGATCCTCTGTGATTCATGTTGTGCAGTCACTCACTTTAATGTAAAATGAATGTAAGGTGACATCCAGAAAAAGTCTCATTTCATTTTGATGCAAATGACTACATGAGGTCAAGAAAATATCAAAGAGAGCCCAGTATAGGAGATGAGGGTGGGAAGGGTTAGTGGAAGAAAGGGAAGACAGACATTCTGTGGAGACACTTGCCAAGCAAGAAAAGATAATTTCAAATGTCCTCTATGGAAAGAAGAAGTGAAGCAAATAGTGGGAAAGGAAGCAAACTGAAGCAGGAAGAAGACAAAGGAGAGGAAAAAATTAGACCAAATATGAGATAATCAAGAGCCTTAAGAGTAAAGAAAAAATTAAGTGCTTGGGACAGGGCAGGAAGCCAGTTCCCAGAGTGAAGGAAGGCATGATGATGTTGGACGGATGAAAGAGGAGAACTCTTTCCAGCATCAGTGGTTTTGGCTCAGGGGAAAGGCAAAGAGGCAAAAGAAGTCCTTTAAAGGGAACAGTCATCATAGTCAAGTCAAAATTAGCCATTTACTATAAGAGAAAGTAAAAGACTGAAGTTGTCTGTTGGAGCTTGCGTGTTAAAATCACATATTTGACAATCATTTTTTCCTACCTGACTTCTACCAGCAGCCACTGATCTAAATTTTCAAAAGCAAGAAACAGTATTTGAGGCGCTTTCTTTCTGGTTCTTTAAAGCAATACATAATAATTAGCATGGGACCCAAACCTCTCTAAAATGGCTTACACTAAATATATAAAAAGAGACAACCATAAGTCCCAGAAACTTGTTAACAAAGACTCACACTATCACCAAATTACCTTCATCCCTTCCCTCGTAAAGTTTGGAACAGAAAGTCTTGCAGACTGTTTAAAGAAACCACAATTTGATCCTTACTTGTGGCATTAATCTGTTCAAAACAAACTAGCACTAAAAGAAGCAGCAGAAGACCTAATCCTGAGGTGTGAGCCAAAAAGGGTTTCAGCTTGACAGAAACCTTTATATTCTTTTAAGCTAACGGGAACTGCATCTACCTTTAAAAAAGCAGATCTTTAAATGAATTCATTTCAGACCCTTGAGGTTATGTTAGGTTAACTCCCATAATGGGCAATTTGGATTTCTAGCTGCTGGGTTTTTTCTGGTACAACAAGGTTATGTTCTGAGAAACATCTATTAGTGGGGAGGAAGTTTTACTGCAGATGTTTGTGATTCCAACTTAAGTTTCTCATCAAAGCTTTAATGAAAATCAGCTGCTTGGAGTAGAGCCGCCAGACCCCAAACCTTTTAAATCATAGGAAGCTGAAGCAAATGGAAGCACAGGGCAGAGCAGATGGATAGTGGAAAATGTTCTCCATTTCAAGAAGGTGCACAAAGCACCCACCAGAACAATGCAATTTAAACTCCACTGCAGTGAGTTCCCACAAAGTTTTGGGCAAGTACCAGCAAAGTGCCCCGAAGCTTATTCAGGGC